AGTCTGAGACAAACAATGAAGTTGAGAGCCCTAGCCATGTGTGCGCAGCGAGGATATAAAACAGTCTGAGACAAACAATGAAGTTGAGCTTTATTAAAAAAAAAAGTGTAATTTTTATTATGTAAAAAATGTTTATATGTTAAATAAATAAATAAATAAATTTGATGTTTAATGTACGAATATATTTTTATTAAGTTGTATCTAGATAAATTCATTATTTTACTTATAATTTTAGAAAGAAAAAAATATAGTTTGATATATCATATAAATCAACAGAGCACAATATTTTTTTCTTTTTTTAATAGTGAGATTATATTATCAAAAAATGATAAGCAAGTAGAGCCAGATTGTTACTCAAGTCGAGTAAGCTCGTGTGTGTGCACGCGAGCGAGCGTGTGTGCACACGAGCGAGCGTGTGTGCAAACCGTAGCTAATTGGTTGAGAAAGTGAGATACAATATTGACCAACCACTCCCTTTTGTTTGCTTTTACACTTCACACATAACATGAGTGAAAGATCTTGACAAACTAATTCAATACCAATTCGACCAACTTTTATGCATTCATAAAAGCTCTAATTTTATTCCAATTAAATATGAATTAAACTATTCTAAAAAATCCGTTAACGTTTAATTTCATATTTATAAGCTTTCTTTAGCACAACAAGAGATGCTACATCTTATTGTGAAAAAATAAATGATTGACATATTCATTACACATGTGCGGATATAATGATCAAAAAAATTTGGCAAGTGCATATAGAGTGCTATCTTAGTGAGTGCCGGTCTTGCTAGGGCTGTCAAAAAAGCTCGTTGTTCGCGAACAGCTCGTGTTCAGCTCGTTAAGTAGCTCGTGTTCGGCTAGTTCGTTAAGTAAACGAGTCGAACAAGAATAAATTTTTAAAGCTCGAATTATAAACGAGTCGAACACGAACAACTCTTTGTTCGCTCGTGTTCGGCCGTTTTAGCTCGAAATAAAAAAAAAAAGTATATAAATATTTATATAATAATATATTACATATATTATTTATATAATAATATATTATATATATTTATATCTAAGTTTAAATCATAACACCTCATGTGGTAATGTTGCTAGTGTATTTTTTTGTATACATTTGGTCCAGGTTCGAATCTCACAATTTACACCTATTTTTTTCAATTTAATTTTAACGAGCAAATTTCGAGCCGAACACGAACACACTGTTCACGAGCCGATTTCGAACACGAGCTATTTCGAACGAGCCGAACACGAGCCAAGTCTGAGCTCGCACAAGCTCTGCTCGTTTACAGCCCTAGGTCTTGCTGATTGAAGAAATGGAGTTGTCGCCTCTGCACATTGAGCTCAAGCCCTTTGCACATTTGAGCTAGTCACTTCTGAGAGCCCGATACTCGAACTCTTTGTTTTTATATGGAGTTTTGAATGCAGCATTTTGCTGCAAAATGAAGAATATGTTCATAAGCAAGTAGTGCCTGGTAGTTTTAGTTTCATAACAGAAAATAACTCAGTAAAGATTCTGAACCACACCAAGCACAAAAGTATTTCATCCAGACTGTTCAAATTACAAAAATTGAAAATGACACTTTTGGTAGATGAGAGTAGGATTGTGTCATCTTTAGGTGGACAAGTGGACAAAAAGCTTAGATTTTTTGCCAGCAAGAATGTGCATTTATTCAAAAGACTGAATGGAGTTCATAACCTCAGAAGTTACTAAGTAAGCCGAATAAACAAAGCATCTCTTACATTTTCCTAAAGATCAGAAACAGTTAGAATTCAGAGCATAAACTTAGAAGTCGTTTGTTAGATCTAAATTTTTGCAGTGTCTTATTTGAATTACAGCATAAGGTTCTCGTTGGAAGAAGTCGTCTGGAGCACTCACTTCCAATCTGAAACTTGATTGTGATTTCATTATCTATAGATCTTAGTCCAGGTCTTTGCGTAGTGCTGAGCCCTCCCATGAAGGATGACGAGAACTGCAAGGATGCAGTGAAAGGTGCTCTGTGCCCGTTGATGCTCTCAACAGACAGAAGCTAATTCTTGAAACAGAAGAAGGTATCTGCAATAAGAGCTTCAATTCACATCCAGCTCCATGATAAGATGAGATTTTACATATTTAACCTCAAAACGTTCATATTTTCATGAATAGGTTTATAAATATAGAACTTTGGGTGTTAGATAAGTAAATTAAAAATAAATTTTCCAAAATAAAAAATAATTTACAGTTCTAAGGTTCAAGGTCAGTTTTGTTTCATTGCAAGTATTAGAGTGAAGAAAAGATTTGATCTGCTTGAAGTGAGTTCAGAAGTGTTTTATAAAACAATTTTGATAGATAAGAAGTTAACTTCAATTTCTATATTTAATTAAAAAAATAATAGATTATTCAAATAATGGGTTGGAATATTATTTTAATTGTAAAAATGATAACATAATGAAATTTTAATGTACATTCAAATAAAATTAAATGCAGCCCAAACAAAGTTTAGAATTGAATTCACAAGAAAAAAAAAAAATTTTTTTAATAATAGAAAACATTTTGTGAATCAAATGCACCACACATAAAACTTGGGCTAAACTTCTAAAAAATAAAATATATTTTTAAAAAAATTAAAAAATAAATCAATAGTTAATGAAGATACCAAAGTTTTCTTACTTATTACTTCAATTATTAAATTTTATCAAGATATAAATAAAATTACTTTGAAAAATCATCCTAATTACACGAAATTTTTTAAAATAGTAGTCAGTGTTAAGAGAAATTAGCTACTCTCGCTAAAGGATATCTCTTGGATTTACTGGATCAGATGCTATTGCAAGTCCTTCACTCCTTGTATTCTACTGTTGATGCTTTGCTTGCGATACAATTGTGTTAAGGTTAAGATTGAGTCATATATTTGTATTTATATCAGTTGTACAAATATGTAAAATTTCTAAGTTAACCTTAGACTTATTTACAAGTGTGCCACAATTGTATTCTATATATATAGCTTACAATGTATGTAACAGAGCTTATGCTAAGATAATAAAATAACTTTCATGTACTGTTTTTTTTCTTTATGTGTTCAATCATGGTATCAGGGCAGTGACTTCCTGCCACCTTCAAGATCTCATGGATGCTTCCTCTTCAATCTCTCCTCACTTCACCATCTCTTCTCAAGAATCCCTAAACAAAATGAAGGATACTCATATTCTACCACCTCTCAAGTTTTTGATGCAGAACATCAAAAGCATGACCAAGAGTTCTCTTATTTTCGAAAACTATGTTGTTTGGAAAGTTCAGGTTCACAAACTTTTTCTTGTCAATGGGTTTGGACTATTTATTAACTCCACTATTCTTCCACCTCCACAAGAACATCAAGATTCCAAATGTACAATCACTGTCAATTCTGGTTATACTTTATGGAGATTAATAGATCAAAATTTTGTTGCTAGCCTATTTTCTACTATCTCACCCTATATCTTTCCTTATATCTTGCACTTAACAAACATTGTTGGTATATGGACTACTCTTGAAAAATGATTTCCAGTCTTCGAATTGTTCACGAGTTATTCAACTAAAACATGAATTACACAATGTTCATATGGGCACAAAAAAAATGACTCAATACCTCACCTCTATCAAAACAATGGTTCATAATATAGCTGCGACAGGCTCAAAAATTGATAAATCATTTATATTATGAATGGTTTACCCAAATTCTATTAAGCTTTCAAAACTTTAAGCCTTGAATATGTTTATTCCTTACTTTATAGTGAGAAAATTAATCTATAAAATGAAGCTCTTAAAGCCACTCATACCACCACACTATTTTCTTTTAAAAACATGAATAACTTCTCTAAAAACAATTTCCCTCCCATAAATTGTCAGCAATCCATCATACCTGCCATGTTTAACAATATCACCACTCAAAAATCCATCATTATATGTCAAATATGTCACAATAAGGGACATTCAGCTGACCAATGTTGGCATCGATACAAGCCAACAACAGACAATATCACTTCTGCTCTAAATGTTAATACTACAAACAACAAGCAAGACTGGGTTGAGCATGAAATTAATTCGAATGATTTAAAAATAAAAATTAAAATTAACAATTTTTTAAATAAAACATAAATAACTATTAAAAAATAAAAATGCAATATGAACTTTAACATGCATTAAAAACCCAGGAACGGGGGAAATCAAATAGAATAACATGTCACTTGAATTTCTGAAAACGCCATAACAATTATCAATAACAAAGTAAACAATTATATGAAATTAAAATATCATAAATTTGGATAAAGAACTAAAATTAATTAAAAGAATAAAACTTAATTCATTCAATAAATTAATAAAGTTATCATGATTACAATCATAGACAATAAGTTAGCAATATTTATTTATAAAACACTCTTTTACATAATAGCCCACATGGATTGAGGAGGAAATTGAAGGGCTTTGATGTGTCAATGTGTAACCGGCATTTTCAGCAGCTGGGAAAATTCCATAAGAAGCATACAGTTGAAGGATATGAGGACCATCAATATATGCTCATATTCGGCACAATCAACCACACAATTCTTTCTACGTTCCGCCTACTAATTCTCCCAAATTAGTTGTTACGAGTCTTCCGCCATTAGCATTCATAACAAATGTCATTGTTTTCCAATCTCTCACCGCTAAAACAACAAATTAAAATATCATTTATATTACTTTAAATTTTATACTTCATATTCTCATTAATCCGAGAAATTTATTTTTATGAAAATTTACCCCCCAAAAAAGGTTTTTTCTTTGGAGGTAATGGTGATAAGAAAAATTTCCTTCAAAATGTCTAAGCTTTCGGGATCAATCCTCCTTTTTTTTTTTTTGCACTCTTATTCTCCATTTCACCATAGAGAATGTCAGAATGACGTTTTGCCATAGATTGTCGGATACCTCAAACCGGCCAATACTTCATTAGAAATTTTCTCAGAGTCATTATGGTTGCAGGCAAGTTGAGATCAATTGAATCCAACTTAAAAAAAATTGTGTTCTATCTCCGTTGGGGCTGGATGAGGATGATGAGCAGTATTATGGGCATTAGAAACAACAACAGCAGCAGCGGACTTATCTGCTGCAATAGAATGTGATCTTTTGTGACCACCTAAAGCTTGCCCAGATGAAAAATTCTTGGCACAGATGTTGCACACGTGATTTCCAAAGTTCTTCGGTGATTTTTTAACTGTTTGAGAATCGCTATTCCGATTAATCAATCTTTTAGATTCTCCTCTCCCCTTATTGTGGCTTGTGCGGTGGCCGCCAAGAGCTTGATATGAATCAAAGCTCTTGCTGCAGATGTTGCACGGATACCTTTTTCTATTGCAAGAACTCTGCCTTTCAAATTCAGAATCACATTGAATTGATAGACGCTTCTTTTCATTTTTAAGAACAGTAGGATTGATATCACCATGATGACTGTTACTTGCAAAAGATGAGACCTTCAGCTTTTTGGACTGTTGATATCCATCCACAGAAGGAAAAGAATGAACTTTGTTTCCAGATCCAATTGTAAGAGAAATCTTATCAGTTGAATCATATATCAAATTAGCGTCTTCTCTTGCGAGCTTCAGCAGACACAGAGCAGCAATCACTTCCTCCTTGCAGTTCTCGGAGGAGAAACCAAAAACAGACGCATTTGCAATCTTTGGTGCACTCCCCGTCCTCTTCTTCTTCATCGGCATTGAAAATCTACTCAACTTACCATAAGGTTGGCCCGACATTTCCTTCGCTTCGTAAGTTCCCCTGCTCCATAAATCATCATCGTTGTCCCCATGAATGAGCTCTTCCCTGGTCATCTCAAATGAAGCATTCAATGAAGAGGAATCCTTCTCTAGCTTGGCACGGTTCTTATCCATAACGTTCTCGGGCCACTCAATCTCAAACCGCTGCGACTTCTTTGGATTGATTCGGCCATGTCTGCCCAACGGCTTGTCTTCATCCTTCATGGGAGGGCTCAGCACAACATGAGACCACAAGTGACCTTCAAGAGATCTCCCATCGGAGAAGCTTTGCCCGCATATTCGACAATTGTGCTTCTCCATAGAAACTAACAGAAATAAAAATTGGAGAGGTTAGGAATCAGAATAGAAGAGAATCGAGAACACAAAGTGCCGTATCAGGATTACGCATTGTGATCCTCCGGATTAATGTTGCTGGACTGATCCTGTATTGTCGATCTGAAAAGAAGCAATCCTGGATGGATCCTCTAGTTTTTCGCTCTGCTTTCCTCAGCAATGGAGCTTCTTTCTTTTGTGGGTGAGGGAGATAAAGCTGGTTGTGGAGTTGGTGGTGAGGTGAAATCCATGCATGGAAGCAAGGTTATAAAGACAGCAGAAGAAGAAATTATGGCATGTGTTTAGCACACAGAAAGCCTCATTAGCGGGTTGGACGGTCTTGTTTGCGCCATGTAGATGCCAAACATAGCTAAAAGACGGTTAGGGAAGAAGGGACCGCCTAACAGCCTCCTTTTCTTTTGTTTAAAAAAAGAAAGAATCTATACTAATACAGGCATGGTGCCATGTAAAGCCACAGCATATGCACAAATATGGGATCAAATGATTCATTCCTCACCGTTCAAAATCTATGAACATGAAGTTGACCAGTTCATTTGTAACAATAATGTGATGTCTGAATAACTATAGTTCTCTACTTCAACAAGGCTCTATAATTCTTATGTAATTCTTTATCTAACACCTTTTCTTAATTATGTATTGTCACTCTACGAATGTGTATTTTACTTATGAAAAATTAGGATAGTGGTATTGCTGATATAAAATATTTAGGTAACTTACATAAGCATCACACAATTCTTATGTATTTACAAATCTGACACTTAGAATTACATGTTTATATTTATAACATTTTGATTTCATAACCTGTATATAGCTAATAGCTGACGTTTTAGCCTATTTTATTTTGGCTACTTCCTTTCATTTTTTGAGAGATTTTTTCTCTATTATATAGCTCATGTTGCAGATGAAATATTGAGCGAGGACACCGTACATAGGTGCGGATTAGTGATACTCTTTTGATATTGTTGTGATATTGGGGTACAATGTTATCACAAATAACACCAAAATATTATCTTATGTGATAATTTAGTAGTATTTTAGTGATATTGTGGTGTTATTGCAGTATAATACCACCACAAAACTACTAATCTGCACCTATTCCACTCTCATCTCATCCGCATGCAATATGTTTTCTATGTTGTAGGTTGTTTATAGTTGTCTTTATTTTGCTTGTTGCAAAACCTATCAACAAAACCTATCAAAATTAAGCTTTTTTTTTTTTTTTTGGGTAAGTAATCCAGTCTTTTCTAAATCCAGTGAAAGGTCTACATTTCTTCCCGTAGAGGACTTTTTTCTCTTACAAAAGATTTTTTCCTCTGACGAAGGTGTTTCCCCTTCGACGGGGGATTTCTCCTCCTGACAGAGAACCTTTTACTCGATGGAGACTTCTCACCCTGACGGAAGACTTCTCCTGACAAAGGACTTTTCCCTCCCACAGAGGGTTTTTTTCCTTCCATAGAGGACTTCTCCCCCTGACGAAGGATTTTTTCCTCCGACAAAGAACGTTTTCCTTCGACTAGTTACCAGAATCTGACTTCTCCCCCCAACAGAAAAACCCCAGAATGAAAGATCCAGTGGTCGATGAAGTTCCCATCAGAACACCCCAACACTAAAGGCTAAAATATCATATACTACATTTTTAAAACAAGAGTAATATTGTAATCTACTTATTTTGCCCTCCTATAATCCATAAATATGAGGGGAATTTCATATAAAATGACTTTTAGCTTCCTTCACTAGTATTGAACAACTTAATGCAATGAAATGGGACAGAGGGCTCGGGAACACCACATTTTTCCCTCGCCAAGGAAGTCTCACTCTCTCTCTCTATCTTGTCTCTCCCTCGTTCAGTTTTCTCTCATTGGTCCAACGCTCTACTCCTTGGGCATGATTTACCAGACAAGTTTGTACTCAGCAGATACAAACCACATAATTCTTATGTTTTTGCGTATCTAACACCTAAACTTTCATTTTTACATGCATATCACTCAAACATTTAATATCACATCAAAAATAAAGCTATTACTAACTTTTAAAAGTGAAATACATATTTTCATGCCAAAATTATTACATAATTCGAATTGCTTGGCATGAATGTAATTTTCCCAAAAATTAATTTGCTTTTCACTTCTATAACGCAAGCTAGGATCGTTAACAATCTGATTGCTCGAAAAAAAATTGATCCATAATTTTCGCTCATTTATTTTTATCCAAGCCAAAATTCAAATCAAATTTCCGACCATTAATGATCTTCCAACTAAATTTACTAAATTCATACATCTAATACCACTAGAACAAATGTTCCCTCTAAGATAATAGAAAACATGTGGTGAAGCATATGTTTCATAAATATAGAATTTAGACTATACTGAAATAAAAGAAAATATATTCAAAAAACTTAATAAAGAAATGAATATTTAATGAAGAGACCTAAGTTTTACTTAGATTGCTTGCACTCATTCCATCAAATATTAAATTCTAACCGAGTTAAAAATAAAATTACTAAAAAAACCTTGTTGCACTAAAATAATTGTCAACTCAGTGATTGAGCTTTAGGCAACAAACACAAGAAAAAAAAACAAAACAAAACCAAAGAAAGCTTAAATTTAAATCCTTAGTTCACTTTTGAATTATCAATCAAATCAGGAATAAAAGAAATCAGACAGAATAAAAATTTTACTTCTTCGCAATACTGCAAAGAGGGAAATATTATATTTACACGGATTCTTCTCTTTTAGCTAATTATTTAGATTATGATTATGTATTAATTAAATTATTTAATTTAAAATATACTGAATATTATGTACCTAAAATAGATGGTACAAACTACTATTTATTGGAATGAAAGCAAAGGAAAAGACATTCAGCCTATTTGCTCAAAATATTGTGATCAATTTTAGTATACATCAAACGGTTGCAAACATTGGGAGTCAAAACAAATAACAGACCCCCTGAATTTCTGGAACCTCCGTAACAATTTTCAACTACTACTGAAACAACAATATCAAATTAACAAATCATTCAATATGGATAAATAACTACAAAATACAAGAATAAGAAGTTTAATTCCTTCATGAAATTAAATCATCATTGAGATTACAATCATGGAAAATATGACAGCCATATTTACTTATAGAACACAATCTACCTAACTGTCCACATGGATTTGCCAAGGAAAAATTGGATAGCTTTGATCTGTAAATCAACATCTTCAGCTGCTGGGAGGAATCCATAAAAGCATACATGGCTGAAGCAGGAACCATCTCTCACATAATTCTCCCTACATCCCCTTCCCAAATACCTCTTCAAGCACATTACAGGTAGGAAAGAAATCAAAATCTTCCTCTCTTGCTCTAACATAGTTGATTTCCCATGGTTTTGAATCGTGAGAACCATCAACATACTCATAATCACCAAAACCAAACACACAACTATTTCTAGGTTCCACATTCAAATTCTCCCCATCCCTCTCCATGCAGGAGTCCGAAACATTACACGGTCCCTCGAACGAAGTACAGGACTCATCTTGAGCATCTCGATCCGACGAACAATCCCTCGAATTTTCATCAATGGACTGCTTGCAAGGGGGCATTGATTTACATGCCGTTGATCCATCCGAACCGAGGCAGAATCGTTCATCCTCTGTTACAACAAGATGCTTCTCATACTCGTCCTCATCATAAAAATCTAACTCTTCTGAGGCGTCATCATTGACTACAGAATCCTCTTCCTCTTCCTCTTCTGAGGTCTCAAATTCACCATCGCTGCTCTCTCGCCACTCATCGTCATCGCTATCCACATTTGAAGGATCGATTCGGTTCTGAACTGCCCTCTTACGAAGTACGTAGACATTAAAGTAGTAACTAACAAGTTCTTTGCAGCTTCGGGATGGAAAATTGTGAGGGAGAACAGTCCAGAAATTTCTGCCTAATGAAGCAGAATTTGACAGCACTATCATTTTGAACAAATTCTCCTCCTCATCAGTCCACCTTTGGGCTACCACATCCTCTCCCATTTCGGAAAATCCAAGTTCTATGAACTTCTTCCCCAGTGATCCCTCAAGCTTTTCTCTAGCTTTCATCACATGCTGCCTCACACATCTAATGGAACCTTCATCACTGCAATCACATTTATCAGCACTGACTTCAATATTCTCAGTAACAAGTGGAGATGGCACAACATTGCTTGGTGCCGAATGATAAGCATGGGAAACAAGCTGACTTCCTGAGCGCTGGAAATCCTGAGGCGTCCATTGCGGAAGATCTGCTTGGTGATCAGGTCCAATGGGGATGCATTTTCGATGAGAATTCTCCAAAAGCGGGGAACGAAGATCTTCCAGTTGGTCGAACCCAGCTCGATAAAGATACTCATATCCTGGAAAGAATGGCACCCAAGCAGCCTGGCCTTGTCTGGTAGCAGCAACCAAATTGGTTGCTGCAGGCCTTTTTCCATTAGCATTCACAACAGATGCTGTTGTTTTCCAATCTGTCACCTCTGAAACAACAAAATAATCATTTTTATTGATTAGAAATAATCTTGCAGATTGACAACAATCTGAGAATTTTATGTTAATTTATTTTTTTATTGGAAGTTACCTAAAAGAGGTTTTTCTTCGGAGGTAATGGTGATGGGAGAATTTCCTTCAAAATGTCTCAGCTTTCCAGCATGATCTTCTTTTTTTGCACGTTTATTCCCCGTTTCACTGCCGAAGTTGTCAGAATGACGTTTACCATTCTCTAATGCTTCAGCAATTAGCTTATTGAACTCCATGTCTGCAACGTTAGTAGCTTCTAAATGTTCCTTTTCTCCATCTTCACATAAAAGTAAAATCAAACCAGTTGCAAATTGCACCTTCCTAACATGCTAAATAAATATATTTCTATACCTGATATTTGATAATTCCCATGGTCAAGCTTATAGAGAGGAACTTCTGCAGATTCTTCGAGATGGAGAGCACACTCCAATTTTTTACCATGTTCATACGCAACATGGTAAGGATCAACGAAAACAAAAGGGCGATTGTAGTGCATCTTAAACCTGGAAGTAGGAAAATGTGGGTAAATGTAACAAATGACCATCAAATTCAAAAATAGCCTCGAAATTTCATAACAAGATTGATGAATAAACTGCATAGCATCAAAGCATTTGTTGATACCAATAAAATAAATTTGAAGGTGAAGTGATTATTTTCACTATATAATGGAACATAATCATCAGAACTTATGCTGGCTTAAAAAGCTTAAGATTTTTAAGTATAAATGCAGATGAATAATGATACAATCATACAATTATTCGTCCAATCATACATCTTTACCAATGAACCCTATTCTAGATATGGAGTTCAATCAAAATAAATCCTAACTCTTAAACAAGTAAAAGTAGAGTACTAGCTAATTCTATGCAATGAATTGAATAAAGATCCATATTTGTAACCCAGCAATGATATAAACAAAGCTTAACTGAGGTACCGTCTATCTGATGCAGCCGATAAAACCTATGCATCAGAGGCTCAAACACACAATTTCCACGAGCAAGTCAACACAGTTGAAAAGCATATAATTAGTTTTAATAATATAAATACACCAATCACTAACCCCAAACATTGGAAGCCTACTTTTATAAGATATAGACATTCTTCTCTCTTATACCGTACTAGATCTGTCATCGCTATCCATGATTTATTTACTTCACTGTGTGCTTTGTTATATGAGATTAATAAACACACGTTTATGTAATTCATAGTCATTTCTTCTCTAAAAAGGGGAATAAACCAAAATAAAATACACCAAAATAGCCTAAAGTGGTAGAATGGACGTAAATAACCAAACCCTGCTACATATAGGATGAATAACTCATAATCTCAATCCGCCTTTGCATAGCCTCTACTACCAATGTATTCAATTAAAAGGTCTCCAATCCCAACCAATTGAATCCTCACACATTCAGGTGCAATAGCCAAAATCAATAACATGAACTTGTAACCCAACGGGCTCAAGCTATATTCATAAATAAACGTTGATTTTTTTCACCTCTTTCATCTATTTTGATAATTGGAGTGCTCGTATATTTTTTCCTGCAGTGTCATTTGTTCAAGCAATGGGAATGGATAATTTAATATTGCAACATAATGCAGCTTTCAGGGCTAATTATATGATTTTGATATTTGTTGGAGAAAGAGGATACACATAACTAATTCTACATAGTTGGGATAAGGCTATTGATGACCATACTGCAAAAGTGAAATATTGATGATTTACCCCGTTAAAAAACTAACAAGTCCATATTTAATACAGCACGCAATGTAGAAAATAAATTTTCTAAAACTTGAAACCTTGGAGTATAAAAATATCAATTAGTGCAAGTAAGAAGAAAAAGTTGGAACTAGCTATTCCTGATTACTGGCACCCGCCACCCATATTTGGCAATTACATTTCAATGCATTTGAAATGAATCATCGCAAACACAAAAAAATGATATATTTAGGGTTCTTTTGGGGCGGCTGTAGATTTTATTAAGGAGGTTGTAAAACTGTGATGGGCTGATCAACTTCTTAGAAGTTGAGGTGAGAATTACAAATATTTATTTAAGAAAAAAATCAAGCCAACAGCTTTCTTACAGTCACCACACTTTAATAGGTAAACAGCAGCTTGTCACCACAAAAATTTCTAGAAAGCAATTTGCCAAATATAGAACTATGATGGTTGTCTGTAACGAAAAGAAGGAAAAAAATTGTGCCAAACTGACCCTTAATTTTCATCTAACAAAGAAAAATCATGGAATTCTAAAATACCCGCATTACAAGTACTTCAAATTTGATTTTAAAAACATCCAACCAAACAACACCTAAAATTTTAAAAGATAAAAACAATAGTATTTTATTCAAGTACTATTTAAAAAAAAAAAACAGTATAAATAAAAAATGAACACTAAAATTTTACAATGTAAACAAGGGTTCCTGCAACTACCAAAAAAAAAAGTAACAATAATCAATCATATACTCTTATTTTTTACGAGTTGGTATAAAACATTCTTACTGACCCTTTCATCAATCTCCCATTTTATTAGAGCATCTGCTATGCCATATTTTATGTACAGAAAATCCAAACTTTCTTATAAGACATCTTTGACATGTGTCTGTCTCAGCACCTATCTAATACAATCATTTCATCGGCGAGTCTTCTGCATCGCACAGAAAATTCAAATCAACTTTCCTATCTCTCTTCTTCAATGCATGCCTCACCCACAACTCTCCCACTATCAAGTTAATAATAATTAAAATAATCATTTTTCGATATGAACACTCTATTTTTATTGCACAACCAGTTTTAAATTCAAATATCAACCGCATTTGGCTTAATTGCTCTTAAATTGATTGTTCGTAAAATTTGCAGACATGAAGTACAGCTGATCCAATTATGATTAAAAAAAATCTATCATTAAGCACCCATTGTATTCTCATAACATATGACAACCCTACTACGCTTCTTTCTTCTTTTTAAACATTGAAATTTAGCATCAGACGTAAAGATCTAATATATAACTACATTTTATTTGATAATATAACTAAAGCCAATAAAACTATCATATTTGATCTCCCAAAAATAAAAGCTAATTAGGGAAATTTACATACATATCATACAATTCCTTTGTAAGTATGACTGAATGTATGTATAATAAAGAGAAAGAGAGGCCCAAATAATTAGAGTTATCAAAATTGTCTTTATTATTCAAATATAAAGGCTTGGAATAAAATTCAAGGCTATCGATCTTGATGAACACTACAATAAATTTCAAAAAAACAAAACTTCATGTGAATATACCATAACTCATCTCCACACCAAGCATAAAATAATAAAGGGGCAGTTACATACAAACCACCCGAAACTTGCAATTTACAAATCAACAAACCTCTTTCATCCATTTTTCAAATTCTCACTCAAATATAGAAATTCATGGTAAAACCCCAAAGCATATTTTTCATTAACATCAAAACCTCAAAAGTTTGATCGTGGCATGCGTAAATACATCGGTTTGGTGATTCAAAAAAAATCACATAGGTACTTAATTTGTAAATATCAATGTTTCAGGTGGTCTGCATGTAATTATCCCAATTGTAATAAGGTTAGAAGACTTTAATAGTAAGATAGTCATTTAAAACAATTTTGGCACTAAACTAAATGACAAGATAATATAAAAATTAAAACGAAATATGATAACATAGTAGTACCATACCATAACAAATGATTCGGTACAAAGTCTTTGGTAGTATTTGATTAGCATTGGCAACCAACCAACTAAATAAATCAATTGAGTGTACTAAACTAATTACAATAAACTAGAAACCAACTTCCTCAATTGCATTTTTCATCTCAAAACCCAAAATTAAATGCAAAAACAATAAATCAAAAGATTTATGCTTCCATTTAATTGGATTAAAACTTCTATAAATAACTCTCTGTGTATGTGGCCGCACAAATATTATCATCGCTAGCTCGGTGAAGCACATCTTTCCTAATTTGTGTGTGCATGTGTGCACATCAAAACATAACTAACTTAACATAAACAAACAATAAAATTTAAATTAAAAGGTCAACGGCTCCCATTATGAACTAAAAAAGGAACTAAATTTGAAGCTAATTTTACCTCTCAAGGCTGCCCCAAAGAATATATCAAAGCAAAAGGGGTGGGCCCTCCACAAGTAACTGCCGACTTATATCCTTTAAGAGATGGCTCAATATTGCGAAAGACAATATTTTAATTAAAGGAGCTTGGAAGTTTTATCTCCCCTGAGAAGGCTACAAGTTGTCAGTCAACCCCCCTCGAGTCCACCAAATTTCAAAACCCTAGCTCCCAGAACCCAAAAGGTCAACGGATTTACAGAAAGAATAACAAATAAAACAATTTAAGGCGGCGACCTAAAGATCAAAAATTTCAATTAGAAGGCTACCACCTTCACGGATCGATCAATAATCTCTGCAAACAAAAAATCTATGACGCCGAAAAGAATATTACAAAAGTCAAATTGAAATAAACAACGGATATATGAAATGAACAATAAAGGACAAAAAACTACAACAGATCTGCGGATCGATACCCTGAAGACCAGGAAGCAAAACCCCTTCGAAACCCTAAAGAAAGTATCAAATTTGCCGGGGCTCAGAAAACAAAGCAATCGGGACAAACCGATAAGGGGTGATGTAGATCCTGATAAAAAAAACCAGTTAACTTGAGAGATCAAAAAATCGGGTATCGATGAAAGGGAGAAAACACGGGAGCGAAAGAAACGGAACCCTAACCCTAGATTCAATCGGGAGAGAGACGATGAGAAAGAAAACCCGCGAAATCGAAAGACGCGGCTACGATTCGTGGACCGGCCGGCACGATCGAAACGAACGAACGGATTGAGATCGAAATTTTTTGGAAGTAAAAGACCAAAAGGGACAAAAAAAGCTCGAATTTTTATTTCGATCCATCTTATTCTAAAATGTATGAATATATAAAAAAATTCTCTTCCCGCATAATTACTCAAATGACAATAATAGCCCTGCGAATTCCGTCTATTAAATTCCTTTCATTTTGACTGACAAAAAACACGTGATGCACGTGGCTAACAATATTAAACTTCTAAGAGAGCTCCTAAATAATTACATTTTATGAAATTTTTTAATTAATTAAATGAAGCTTATGTTAGTCCGGAGACAATTACACAGAAGAAAAAAATAAATAAATAAATAAAAATCTTACCCGCTCCCGCCTTCGACTCCTGCTCCCATTTCTGCGAATAGAGAAACTGCTCATTCGCGAATAGTCTCATTTCTGCTAGCTGCTCTCTTCTCTCTTTGTTGTTTTCGCGAATCGACGCCCCCCGCTCTTTTGAGTCGCGTGAATAGCAACCTCCTCTCTTCTTCTTTAGTAGTGTGATCAACTGCTACAGGTGAAAGATATCCGAGAGGCATTTCTTCGGGCTTCGACGTGGTTCGAAGGTATCCGCTCTTAGTTATTTCTACGTGTTTGGCAGAAGGAAGAAGAAGATAGTGGAAGAATAATTTTTGCTCTCTTTGATTTCTTCTTGGTGGTTTGTGGCAGAAGAGAAATAGGTTTTTTCTTTTGTACGTTTTTCTTCTTCTTCGACCTATTTCGGTATAGAGAGAGAATGAGAGAGTAAATGAGAGAATAGTTTTCTCTTGTAATTGTCGAAGGCATCGACTAATGTAAATCCCTCAATTAATAAAATCCTCTGCAACACCGTGGATGTAGGCAATTTGCTGAACTACGTAAATCTGTGTGTTCTTTTCTAGGATGAATTTTCTCGTTCTATTTTTCACTTCGATGTCGATATTTTTATTTTTATATACCACAACAGTTTAGGTTTGATAGCGAAAGTTAATAAGTAACACTTCAACCATGTGATTGAAAAAATATTTTAAAAACCAATGGTGCATTTGGGGCAACAATGCGGCGGTGCTATGGTGTCGCACCGTAGTTATTCATGTTTAGCAAAATTGTATTTTGTTCGTGTTCTCAAAAAACTGCGGCTAAAAACTGTGTTTTTCCACTTAACCTGACTATCTGCGATGGCTCCTAGAAAGTTGTGGTCTGGTTTTTTTTTTTAAAAAAAGTTATAATAGTCACCGCAGCTTTTTAAATAGCATCTTCTTAAACAATTTCACAATTGTTTTTTCAAACAGAAACAAACCCTAAATGTGCAAAATTGAGCACAAGCACATAAAATAATTACTAAAAATACATTATAAGTAAAGCTAATGGCAGGAAAATTGAGTGTGCTCGGTGCGTCGTTGGACTCTTCGCTTCCCAATTCAAGGTCTTTCATGAGCTAGAGAATTCAAAGTAACATGTAGCTCAAATGTAGAATAATTTTACAATATTGGAGAATTTAGCTAAAAAATTATTGTTCATTTGATTCCAAAACCCAAAATGATAAAAACCAATTGACATCGTCTGTGGGAAGATTCATACTTCTTGGCTAGAGATGTCCGCGTAAAGTTGTTCGTGGACAACGATGAAGAAGAGAAGTTTGGCATTCACAAACAGAGGAGTCGGATCGCATCACACGTCGCACGCAGCCAAATCGCGACAAATTCGGTGAGCAGTGGAAGCTTTGATTGACTAGATTTGCACTATAGGTTGTGAAGTTCGACGAGACGGAGGAGGAACAGTCCGCAAGCGAGGGCCGAAAATTTGCGACAGGGCTGCCAGCAGAGGATTTCGGAGTAGGAGTTCGGTCTTGCGAGCAGCTCGGCCAGAGGGAAGAGGCGGAGATC